GCAACATTATACACCAAAATGTTGTCTGTGATGGTTTTCCTGGATGTTTTCATTTATGTCCTTATACTTTTATGTATTTTAACATTTTCTAAAGAAAATGACTATAGAAAAATGAAACTTAAAAAAAAACACATTGGGAAGAAAACCATTTAGATCTCAGAAAAGTGTAGCCATAGCAAAGAGTATGAACATTTGTGTTGTCTTGGTTCTTTTCCCCAGTATCTCAAATAATAACACCTGAATGAACGTAATATAAGCTCTGGGCCAATTCAGTTAAGAACAAGTTAAATAGAGTAGGGAGGAGGGACAGGAAAAACTATTAAGTGGGTTTTACTCAGCCATTCACAAAATGAAAGCCAGACAGAGAGACACATTTTTTCTTTTTCTTTTTTTTTTTTTTTCATGTTTTGCCAATGAAACTTGGATTAGCACTTGCTTGTTTGGATCCAGCTCTTTGCACCGATTGTGTAGGTGATTGCCTAAGCAACTGTAACCAAACACTTTGAAATCCACCCTCTGTGGCATGTAATGTTAATACTTGCTTTGCTTTTTAAGAAAGCCAAATTAAAAATGTGCTGTGATCAGTTTAACGTAAGAGGCAACATTTCAAGTCATTATTACCCATTAACATTGTTGGGATTTAGAACATGACACCCCAAAGTATGGCATCTTGGCATGCTGAGTATTTTGAACTAAAGAAGGTTGGAAGGGCCTCAGAAGCAAGGTCTCTCTGACCTTCTGCTCTCCTGTCTCTCACCTCTTTCTCCCTTGTAGTAAGTCATAGCAACCAGAATTTCTGTCCCCCAAAGTAAGCCTTAAAACCCAGAAAGGTCACTCTCTCCCTTGTCCCTTGTCCCTTGAAGACCCTCATTCCAAAGGGGTCTTGCCCCATACCCAGAAGAAGCAATGCTACAAAGAGAGGCCAAGAAAAATCTGAACAGAAAGGCTTTGCTGGGTTTTCCCCTTCTCTGTATTACCAATAGATCATGCCTTTTTGTCCAATCACATTTCTTCACGACTGCCTGGTCTTCATAGAACCTAAGCATAAAGACAGACGGTTTTCCCTAGGTCTTTGGGTCTTCGTTTCTGAAGACTCCCATATCACGTAAAATTTCAATTAAATAAATTTGTTGTACTTTTCTCTTGCTACCCTGTCTTTTGTTATAGAAGTGTTAGCCGTGACCCTTATGATGGATGAGAAAGGGTATCATACCTTTTTGCCCCTAAAACACCTCTCTAAAAATTTATCAAATGAGCTAGGATACCACCTGGAAATGGGATAAAGGGTTAACAAGTATTGGTGAAGAAGCCAGAAAGGACAAGTGAGGAGGAGGAAGGGAAAGTGTGAGAACCCAGACACCAAAAGGAGGAGTTGTGAGTGTGAACTGATGTATTTCACATGTGTGGACTGGCCCTGGCCATATATATATTTTGCCTGTGGCCAGTAAGGGGATATGAACCCATGACCTTGGTGTTATAAGGCTATGCTCTAACTAACTGAGCTAACTGGCCAGCCCCCCAGCATATATTTTTGTAAATAAAGGTTTATCGGAACACACCATGCCCATTCATTTACACATTGTTTGTGGTTGCTTTCTTGCTACTTCAGCAGAGTGAAGTTATTGCAACCAAGACCATATGGTTACAAAGCTAAGCTATATACTATTTGGCTCTTTACAGAAATTTTCTATCCTACAGAAGTGACTGTGGCTACATTTCACTGCGATTGGCCTTGAGAAAGCAGAATGTGCTGGATATTCTCCACACAGTGTTTGGTGCTTGGCTTCTCAGTTCATTTTGATGCATGTGAAGGGATAGAAGCCAGGCTTCCACCAGGGGTCTAATGAAGCAGAGGAGATGCCCAATGGGCAGCAATTCCTCATTGCCTAGGGTCACCTCTGAATGTGCAAATCAGAGACTAGTATGTGACTGATGGGAAGAATATCCAGGAAAGGGATAGGGAAGATGATGAGGCGAGATGAACTAGACTCCTAAGAGTCCTCTAGGGTCTTTCTACAATTTCACTTCTGGAGGACAGAATGCTGCCTTCTAGTATTTAGTGAATTGAGTTTTGTCCTTAGAGACATGCACACTGCTCCCGTTGACTTCAATGGGAGTAATAGGCCATTTAGTCCCATGACATCTGTGCTGGCTTCAGGCTATTTAACAAACTCCTAAACAAATCCCAGTGAAGTGCTCTTTGATGGGTACTTAATTCTGGTGTGGGGGAAGGTGCTGAGCACACCTAAGTCCTTTCTTTTCCTTCAGGTTTACTAAGTTTTCTCCATTTTATAGCTTGATAATTACTGCAACCAAGAACCCTGAGTCAAGCAGTATTAAGCCCACTAAAAGTCAAAAGATGTCACTTTTATTGATCTCAATTGACCTGTTTATGCTTGGGTTCCAATTTAATGGCTCAATTGGTTATTCATTTACATTTTTTATGTCTTTGTGGGCAAAATCATTTTAACATGAATCATCTCTAATGGGCAACATATAAAATCATTTTGGATTTTCAGTTGCAACAAGCTCAGGTAAATTTAACAGGGATGAAAAAGGCATTTCAATTTCTGGTAAAAGATGATAAAAATGATAGTTTGATTTTTCTGCTGTGCAAAATGTCCATCACTTATAAGTTGTTCACCTGACATTAAAGTGTGGTTAGAATATCAACTTTTGTGTTATCCACTTATTAGTTCTTTTTTGTCCAAATACAATATGAAACCAACAATGCCCATGCTTCAGTTGAACTCTTTCTTAAATTAAATCCAGATGTTTTAATATCATTCATTAATTTGTTTTCCCTTTAGATGGTCCTGCTTTGTTGGAGATGGTGGAAATAGTGGGAGAAGATTATACTATGGAGAGCATGACATAATGAGAAATAGTATGATTTTATTAGTTCAGGAAATTCTCTTTAACAAAGGTAGACAACCTGGAAGATCTAACCAAACTTATGTTTACAATATAATATTCTACCTAAAGGTTCTTTAAATATGCTTGTGGAGTTCATTTGATAATATGTTTTCTTCCTTCATAGCAAGCAGGTGAGGCTCTAAAAATATGACTGCCTGTGGCTCATACTTCACTGTAGGACTGTTTTGCATTTATTATTTATACATTATATACCCAATCACTTCCCACCTTCACTTCTTTCTAAAATGAGATGAGGCATAAGAAAATACATAAATACATATTTCCAACTATAATAGTCACTTTTATCTGACAGTATAAAATGGAACCAGAGTTTAATGCCAAATAGGAGAGGCTCACTATTTATCCTCTGGGAAATAGTAAGTACTAGTGCTTGGTGGAAGGAACAGTGAAAACCAAAATAGTGTTAAAAATGTTCGAAGTACTTTGCTTTACTAATTGTCACTGGCAATTTTATTAATCTTATTACCAAATGTATAGATCAAAGAAAAGAGCTAGTTTCAATCCTTGGAGGAAAAAATTCGGATGGTCAATAGCATTATTCCTCTCCATGTGGAATTACTAAGCACTTTCTTATAGCCAGGCAAAGCGTAAATAAGATACAATTCCAATTTTTAGGAATTCCTGGTCAAATAAATATGTAAAGAGATAATTGAAATAGAACATGTGATATAATGCTTCTATTTCCAAAGTGCTGTTCAACCATGTGGTGGTCTCAGAGAGCTTTAAGGAAGAGGTACCAGTCAAGTGTTATCATGCAGAACAAGCGAGTTCACTATCACGGGGGAGTGCAGAGGATCACACAAAGTGAGGGGCCAGCCTCAGAAGAGAAGACACAGGAATAATGTGGGGGTACTTAAGAAATGGTGGGCTCTTCATCACAGCTGATGTGAGAGTGTAGGCAATGGAAGGATGCTAGTGCCTGGGTTAATGAAGATGAAAATGGCTGCATGGTGGAGAGCTTTGAATTAAAGGATTTTAACTTTATTATGTGGACAATGTAGGGTCACTGGCTGACTTTAAACTAAATAAAAAGGTGTCTGAACCCTGACAAATCCTGAAATGTCAGCAGAAGGGAAAAGGGAGCTGCCAGCAAAGGAAACTTCAAATGGCGGAGGGTCAAAGAAAGTGCCCACTGAGGCACTGAGCAGCCATATGTCTGACCTGCATCCTAAAACAAGCAGGTTCAGCACTGTAAGTTTTAAGGGCGAATCATAGGGGTTCCTGGTCCCTTTCCCACAAAATGGTCCACTTTATTGGTACAATCTCTGTAGGGAAAATATAGGAAAATGGTTAGAGTCCCTCAGATGTTCAGAATCTTGCTGAGCATTTGTTGTAAGAATCCACATGCGCCCATTGGTTCCTTGGTTACTATCTAATATAATTGCGTATGGGCACCCAGGTGTCCTGGGTTATGGACCTAAGTATAAAGGACTGATGGCTCTGATACATGATGCTTCTCAGGAAGCTCCGGGAGGCCACTAGGGTGGCTGCACCTAGCTCTGAATAAAGCCTATTATTTTTTTACCCACGGCTTCCAGGATCTTTTCCTATTACCTGGCTCATGGACCTGCATGTAAAGGGTTTGTAACCCAGTCTGTACAATGAGCTTGAGGGATCTGTGAGCACTAGCCCTAGCTTGACAACCTCTAACTGAATTCCTCTTTCTTAACCTACTTTAGAATCTTGTCTAGACATTTACATAGCTACTTATCAAGTTAGGATCATATTTCATGGTCATTTTCTATTGTGGTTACAGTCCTAATAGAGTTGGATAAATGAAATTACATCTTTAATATTCTGATTGGATTATAACATATCAATAAGGTGATATTTCTTTTAAAGAAATCTTCTAAGTTTGCCGAGGAAAGGATCAACAAACCCAAGGGATTTGAATTAGCTATACATGGCATTCCTAAATTACTTTAGAATACTCAATTAGCTTTATATAAAGAGAGCATTTTCATGGGCTCCACCTGACATATTTAATGCTTGTAGAACACTTTGGTTCCCTTTGTTCAGACAGGACATGGCCAGGGGAGGTCTTGCGTGAATCCCACCCATACCTGTGCTGTCTTCATACACCACGGTCACTGTCTTCCAGTTGTAATAGAGGACCAGATCCAGGATCGCCCTGCTGATAGCTGCATAGTCCGGGTAGAGGTTGATGTAAAACAAGTCTTTGTTGTCCACTGAGGGATGTTTCCAGCGGGTCTGTATGTGTGGAACTTCAAGAGCATTGCAAATGGACTGCACAGCACTGACGGAGGAGCTATGGGAGGGGCCGAAGAGAGCAGCCACACCAAGAGCCAGCTGGTCACATGCTGATGACGTCCAAAAACAAGAGGAGATGGGAAAGGAGGAGAGAAAGAGAGAGTTCCATAAATTTAGCTTTTCCTTCCAGGATTCCTTTTTAATTTAATTATTTGGAGAATCCCCTACACTCCCCATCTGTATATTGAGGAAATATGCTTAGTCCAACTTCCGATATTCTTGAGATACCAAGACACTGATAGGTGTAAGTGTAGAGCTGAATAGCAAAACATCACAGGGCCAGCTCTCTGCAAATAAAAAGGAGTTGCTGGTCTCACTTCATTATCTTTAATCAGATGGAGTCTAAACCCCTTGCTTGGTGTAGTGTTACCCAGGAGCACGCCAAACTAACCAACAAGCCATTTGCCAAATGAATGTCACATGAATTAAGTTCTGTCATAGGGTGGGGTGGCAATAAAGCCATTAATGTGGTCACAGGATCCAGAAGAAAGACCCTCTGGGTGACTGAAAAGTGCCTTAGCTCCTGTCTTACCAAAACTCAGAAAGGAGTTTCAGGTTATTGAAATTCTGCTGAAGAATGCTCTTAAGCAGTACTGATACCTAATTAATTACAGAATAATGGAATAACACAGCCTAAAAGGATCTTTGAAGACATTTGGTCTAACCCACTCATTCACAGACAGTGGAATGAGTCACAGTCACTGGACAGTAGCAGAGCTGAATCGGAGCTTAGGAATCCAAGCTCAAGGCCATGGCTCTTTTTACTTCAATATCAGCCAACATGTAGCCTAATGAAATCAAGCCAATATGTATTTAAAAATTCATTTATAAGTTTACTTTTCTCATTATAAGAGTATACATACTCATTGAGAGAAGTTCAAATACTTAAAATGCAAGAAAGAAAAAAAGGACCTGTAATTTTCTTGGGATAATATCTATTAATATTTAGGAAAATTGGAATCATTATATAAATATAGTTTGATACATTGCTTTATTCATTTAACACGATAGCATGTCTTTTACCCGAGTTATTACAAATTCTTCAAAAGCATATTTTTAATGTCTATAAAATAGAACATTCCAAGGGTGTGTCATCAGTTATTCAACCATTCCTACAATATTAAACATTAATCTGCTCCTAAATTGTGGCTATTATAAGCAATATATTATAGCAGTGATCTTAGTTGTTATATTTTTCTTTGCATCTCAGTCTAGTTTTTTAGAATAGATTTCCAGGGGTTGAATTGCCAGCTATAATTAACATTGATTATTTACTAATATTTTTAAGTTATCTGATACATATTAGCCAAATTCTCTTCCAGAAAGGTTGGAGCAGTTTGTCTTCTACAATCGTGTAAAAATAGTACCTCTTATGGTGGCAGGCATTAAGTATAAGTTTAAACTGATTTTCAAATTTATGTGTCAATTCTATTTTAAAGGAATTTAGAACTACCAAGAGAGAATAATGAATATCAGAATTAAATAATACTAAATTTATACATAAAATTGTGTTGATTTTTATAATAATGTCATTCTACAGATAAAAATAAGTAGGAAAACCTTATGGATCTATAAATTTATGGATCTGATTTAGAGAGAATAATTAACAAAATTTTGATAGCTATGTTGTAGATATCTCAGGTACAGTAAATATTTACAGTCATTCATAAGGAAAACCTTCTGATACTGAGCTCTTTCATACAGGATTACTACATGAGCTATGAAGAAGTATAGTTTTCTGCGTTGTGTTGTAAGTGAAAATTGTCATTGTCCTCAAAGCTTATTTTCTGGTTGTGTTTCATTAGTTAGACAGGTAAAATAAAAGCACGAGAGTATGTGAACTAGTGTTTTATCTCTCATGAGTAATAGATTGAGAGTCCTGCTAATATTTAGCTCTAGGATGCTAATATTACTTGACAGAAAATCAATCCTTTTGAATTTTGTTTGCCAGGAAATTACCAGTTTTAAGAAGCTTTGGGGGTGTTTAATTTGTAAGTATGGCAGGTACTTCAGATCACGAGAGTGCTTTCAATTTTAATGTGCATTGAAGTTTCACTGCTAAATGTGGTTGGTTTTCTATGGTATTTGATCAATAATGTGTGTGTGTGTGTGTGTATGTGTGTGTGTGTGAGTGTGACTGAGAGAGCAAAAGACAAGAGATATCTAACCAGTAGAGATAATGTATTTGAAGATACCTTGTAAACTTTAAAGTGTGGCATAAATATAAGGTTTTATGGACAACTCTGACCTATATGATATCTCTCACTCCATTTATCATAATAAAGAAAATATACTAAGGTCATGCCATAGATAGAAAAAAAAGCATTATTCTATTAACTTTTCATCTGTGCTCCTAAAAAAAGAAGTTTTATATTTTGTTTGTAAAAAACACTAGAATTCTTGCAGGAGAGTGTATTAGGCAACACATCCTATTATCTAACTAGGTTAATTCTATATGAAAACAACCAGTATTCACCTACTTGGAAATCAGTATGAATGTGGTGTTTACTGTAACCCATTTATTGGTGTGTTTTTAATGAACAAGGCACAAAACACCTTTATCTAGTGACTAGACAGTGCCTTTGTTAGAGGCCAAACTTCAAGTATATCGAATATGATCTTGCTTTAAAGAGTTATTCTGGAAGTGTCCTGCAGATATCTAAACAAGCCCTGAATTTTCAAATGAATCTTTCCGTGAGAGAAAGCTTGCAGCCTATATATAAATTAGATGACTTTTTACATACTTGGCTTTTGTTCAGAAGAAAAAGAGAATGAAATGCAGACATTGTTCTCACAGGTTTAATCTTCATATTTTTATGATTTTGTGAAAAGGAGTTAAAAAAAATGTTGAGAAGATAATAGGTAAACCCAGTAGTTTATAGCCTGTTAAAATGCAGGGTGCAAGTTATGTGTGTCCTGGGCATTTCCACATGCTCTGTGGGTATGACCTTCCACAGTGTTTTTTTTTTAACTGCACTGCACAATTTCCTGGTGGTATCTCAACTTCAGTAAGGAAAAACAGATCAAGCTTGACGTTTTCCATTCACAGCTGAACCGGTTAATCATAGAGTGGAGGACACTGAAGGGTAAGCTAATCAGAAAGACCCAGAAAACCATTTGGGGCAACATCCATGAGGTTAGCTCAGATTGCATTGATCAGTGATGCCGAAGACTAAAATTTCCTGCCACCCACTTGCATAAAGATGTCCACTTTGAAAAGGGGCAGGTAGCGAAAAGAAGGTGATTTGTAGAGCAGACATATTACCCAAAAAATCTTTAAAAAAAATGGGAAAATAGTTACCTCTCCGTGAGGCTTCAAAACTATCAAAAAGATTAATTCTCTGGATGTCATAGGTTAAAGTGATGTTAGGCATCAGGGTTCGGTTTCTGTTAATGCTGGTGACTGCAAACTTGAAAGCTAATTCTTCAACATTAACAGGTTCATTTTCCACAGTTTCAAAAATCCCTCCTGCAGAAGCAAAAGAGATGCATAAGAAGCATTAGTCACATGATTCATGCATAATTTTTAAAAGAATGTCAACTATACAAAGAAAAAACCCAAATGATAAATGGAGAAATGGTCAAGGAAGATCCCAAATCCGGTGCTAAAAGTTGAATTTATCAGCATGTGTCATATGCAGATAAATAGGTCTCATTGCATATGTATGCTTAAAATTTTAAATCCAGTGTTGGATTATATAACACCTCTTGGATGGCAAATATATTCCAAACATTTACTACCATGAAAATGTAGTTGATAATACGGTGGAGAATGATTTTCTATGGTTTGGACAAGAATCACACTGCACTTGACCTAACCATAATTAGAACTGTATCCTTGTAGGACCATCCTTCCTTAGAATGAAGAGTTTTCTACTTAGAAGCAGACATTATAGACTCAAATCTATACCACTGCTTCCCAGCTCAGGACTCTGAGGTCATATTCTACTACTTTCCAAAGTGCATGGGCAGATTCAGAGAATTGTTTTTGTTTGTTTGTTTTGTTTTTTTGATGGACTGTTTGGTTGTGCCAAAAAGCAAACCTGCATCCTATCTCTGGAGAAATATGTTTCTCCATTGGGCAAGTACACATGGATTAGGCTCTGACATTTTATTTTTATTTTTTATTATTATTTTTTGTCCTTTTTGAGACCGGCCACACCGCGCTCAGCCAGTGAGTGCACCAGCTATCCCTATATAGGATCCGAACACGTTTTACTCAGTTCATTTGGGGTCGCAAAGCCTTGGCAGTGGATATCAGTCTCAAATGTCTGACTCTCCAACCAATATATATTCGTGCATGTTTTTACTCGATCAGATTATTTCTGTTCTTCTTCATCTCTAAATATGGGCTAGTGATGCTGCCTTGCTTACCATGCAGGACTGTTTTTTAAAGAAAGTGATATAACGCAATCAAAGTGCTCTGAAAACTCAATTGACTCCCAGAAATAAGTTGGTATTATTACACATGGCTAATGAAGATAAAAAGGGGAGTTGGCACCAATTGTAGAACTGCCTGCTCTCACCTCAAAATTATTCCTTCATATATAATTGTCTTTTANTTTTTGTCCTTTTTGAGACCGGCCACACCGCGCTCAGCCAGTGAGTGCACCAGCTATCCCTATATAGGATCCGAACCCGTGGCGGGAGCGCTGCTGCGCTTGCAGCGCCGCGCTCTCTCGAGTGCGCCACGGGCTCGGCCCAGGCTCTGACATTTTAAGCCTGAAGATCTCACTACAAGCAACAATACAAAATATTAGTGCTTAAAGCCTCATCAGATAATTCAGCTCTGACATTTCTTGACATGTTGATGTTTGATAGAGACAATGTAAGTATTGCTGAATGTATATTCTAAATGCTCTTTAGAAGCCATCCTGAGATTATCAGTAGACACAGGGCATACAGTAGAAGCTCTCTTAATGGATTTCCATTAACTTCATTGACCAGTACGCCTCGTTTCCTTTGAAAATACTTATTAACTGATGCCTATAGAATGTTGAACACTTGTAACTACCAGGCTCCTATTTATCTACTCTCAACATTGAGTAATTCCTTACTAGAAGTCAGCTATAGGTTTTTTCCTAAACTTGTCTATGATAGACAGATTTGCAAGAGCTGAAAGTTCTCTGTTTACTTAAATATATATATAAATCTAAAATGAAAACCAAATGCTGGCAAAGATGTGGAGAAAAGGGAACTCTTATATGCTGTTTGTGGGAATGTAAATTAGTACAGCCATTATGGAAAATAGTATGGAGGTTCCTCAAAAAACTAAAAATAGAACTACCATATGATTAGAACTTCCACTACTCGGTATATATCGAAAGGAAAGGTATTCAGTGTACCTTTATTGCAACACTATTTACAATAACCAAGGTGTGGAATCAATCTAAGTGCCCATCAACAGATGAATGTCTAAAGAAAATGTGGTATATATACACAGTGAAATACTACTTAGCCATAAAAAATAAGAGTGAAATAATGTCATTCATGGCAAGATGGATGAGCCTGGAAGACGTCGTGTTAAGTGAAGTAAGTCAGACACAGAAGGGTACGTGCAGAAGCTAAAAAACTGAGCTCACTGAAGAATAGATTAAAACTGAGGTTACCAGAGGCTGGGGGGCAGGGGTGGGTGAGAGGGTATAGGAAGAGGTTGATTAACAGATATGGAATTACTTCTAGATAGGAAGAAAAAGTTCTATTATTCTGTAGTAGTGCTAGGAATCTGTATTTTCAAATGGCTAGAAGAGAGGAGTTTAAAATGTTCTCATCTAAAAGAAAAGATCAATATTTGTGATAGATATGCTAATTAACCTCATTTGTTCATCACCCAAAATATACATGTATCAGAATATTACTCTGTAGCCCATAAATATGTACAATTATTACATGTCAATTAAAAATAAAGTAGGGCTGGCCAGTTAGCTCAGTTGGTTAGAGTGTGGTGTTGATAACACCAATGTCCAGGGTTGGATTCCTGTATTGACCAGACACCAAAAAATAAAAGATAGAATAAAATAAAACCACAAATAAGCATCATGGGTATAATTTATATATATTCTTTCTTAGAAAGAGAACTCCAACTGACAGACTCTAATTCAAAGAAATTACCTTGACTCTACTTTGAAAGAATAATAAAAATATGCACATCTATAATTTTCGTGCTAAACTAACTTTCTCTATTAAATAACCAACTACAGTATCATGTTGTGAAAGCTAAGAGGGTTTATATTGAACTATTTTCACTCCTTTTAAAAATATTTCTGGCTTTTATAGACTGATAACAGGAGGCATTCAAGTATAGATCATTTCCCTGTTTTCTGAGAAACCATAGTTGAAAACGATATCACAATGTTAGGGAGAGGGAGGAGGGAGGGAGGTTTCGGTAATGGGCCACAATAATCAACCACATTGTACATTGACAAAATAAAATTAATAAAAAAATAAAAATAAAAAATAAAACAATGTTATATGATCATGTTACCTTTTACCTAAAGGTCCATATTAGACATTTGTTCTGAAATCAATGTTAGGAAATTTTTCTCTTCAAGTGAATTTGTGTTTTCCCTTTGTCAGACAATTGTAAGCAAGAAGTCTGGGGTAGATTTTCAGTTTCTCTCAGAACTGACAGTGGATTCTAGACAATGGGGTGGTAAGTTTACATAATAGACATTTGGTCTCCAGAAGAGGATAGAAGTATGGTAGGTTTACTGCCATGGTCGAGGTGACCCAACAGAGGGCTGTTTGGTGTTAGGGCTTTCACAGTCATTATGAGTAATTATTTGTCTACGTGTCTGCCTCCCCAGCCACACAGGGAGAGCCCTCATGCACAGTGACCGTGTTGTATTCAGAATTTCCATCCTTATGAAGACCAAGGCATCTTAAGACATTTGGGCTGCAACTATTTAGGGAAAAAGTCAATCACTGGTTCAGATGTGAACACTGTTAATCTGCGTGGGGTAGGATGCCTGGATAGACAATGGAAGTTGTGAATTTTGGACCTTGGTCTACCTACGTCCTCTTTGAGAAGGATTTTTAAGTACCAGCAAGAAAGTTATGATGAAATAGATCTTTTACATACATTTCATTTAAACTTTATAACATTCAAGGTAGAAGGTATTTTTCCTGTTTTTATAAATAAAAAAGTGAAAAGGGATATTACACGTTTTACTCAGTTCATTTGGGGTCGCAAAGCCTTGGCAGTGGATATCAGTCTCAAATGTCTGACTCTCCAACCAATATATATTCGTGCATGTTTTTACTCGATCAGATTATTTCTGTTCTTCTTCATCTCTAAATATGGGCTAGTGATGCTGCCTTGCTTACCATGCAGGACTGTTTTTTAAAGAAAGTGATATAACGCAATCAAAGTGCTCTGAAAACTCAATTGACTCCCAGAAATAAGTTGGTATTATTACACATGGCTAATGAAGATAAAAAGGGGAGTTGGCACCAATTGTAGAACTGCCTGCTCTCACCTCAAAATTATTCCTTCATATATAATTGTCTTTTACATAAAACTGAATGTACCTAGGTTTAAGAGAATTACAGTGTTTTTATTAGGTAGTGTGTAGGTGAACTCTGTTTTGCCATTTGGGGAGCAATTTTGTTTCATTCCTTCACCAAACAGGTATTATAAATGGTATCATTAACTCAAAACCCCATCACTCTTTCCTTTTCTCCCAGAGAGGGCTGCTGATAAATACAAAAACCCCAATGCAATCCTTATCAAACTACCAATGACATTACAATGACTGTGCTACCCGAAGCGATCTGAAACCCTACAGAGATGTTAGGTATATGGATGGCTGGATAAGTACCAAGAAAGTGAGATCTGATAGAAACAAGAGAAAGCTATTAATAGGAGCCAGACCAATACCTCACATGGGAGCAGACCACTGAAGGATCAGCCACTTCCTCCCTTTCTCCTCTTCATAGCTTCAGATTTGACAAAACTGAGATGCAGAGGCTTTGATAAGAGGAGTAAAGAGACACCTATCTGGGGACACTTACATGATCCATCCATCCCTTCCTTCCTTCCTTTTCTTTTTTTTCCCTGAGATTCATGAGTGTGGGCTGTCAAGCACTTTAAGTCTTTGGGAGTCTCCATGTAACGAACTTCTGGCTCAGCTATTTGGAAGTTCCATTTGTCTGAGAGTGGGAGTCCCTTCCCTGTTCATTCCTCACTTCCTCTTCCTCCTCTGCTCTTGCACCTCTCTTCCCCCCCTTCCCTCTTCCCCCCAAGAGCAGAATTGCAATGAATCTCTCTCTCTCTCTCTCTCTCTCATTTGAGCTGATCTGAGCATGACTTCTCCTTCTAAACATTCAAGAGATCATGGAAGGGTTAGGAAAAGTAAAACTAAGAAACTAGCTTAGGCTCAAGGGAGAAAGGTAAAGGGACTCCCTCTCCTTATTTGTTTGCAATTTCCTAAGCCAGATCAGTGGGTGAGGGAAGGTGGCAGGACTTGA